GACCTTGACACCAAGGTCCTCTCACCTTTTATCGGAATCCAACACTATAACTCTCTATAGAGTTGTATAATTGTGATCCTTCACCATAAACGAGCATCATACGATGACGCGAACATCATCATCATCATCATTTTGTCGATAAGTGAATGACTAGACGAACCTCTCGCGAATAATTGGCGAACTCACTCAAGACTCGTGACGCATGCCGCGCTGCTTTACTCTCCACGAGCCGCAGCATACGCAAACTGCCAGAAATCATCCAAAATACGGAGTAGGTACACCTTCGCCGCTGCTCCTTAGTTTTACGACGGGGGTAAATCCAATCTTCTGCACAAAAAACTCTATAATCATTCCGGACGTCAATCGGCCAGCGACCCAGAAGCCACCACAGGCTCGATATATGCCGGAACAGGATTCAAAAGTCTGATCTGAAAACCAATCGCTGCGTTTTCTTCACTACTCGTCTCACGGGAAGCATCGAGATCCGCTTATCAGGTACAGCAGCTTCGAGGAGCGGTGTTTCCGGCATCTGGCAACGCGGAATAATGCTCGGACTACCTCCGGATGATTGAGTCGAGACTGCCGAGGAAGAGTTGGTCATTAGGGAAGATGAGCGGCTGAAACGATGAAAAAACGATCGCAATCATTATTCCAGTCAGACCTCGCTCACCCGCAGCTCATGCGGTCCCGCTACTTCGCGAATTCTGGGAGCTCGATGTGCAGCCCACAGACACGAGCGTTTTTCTTGGCATACTTCCGAAAGTATTCGTTCTACGGATGTCACTACTCTATCCAAAACAGTCTCTCGCGGTCAAAAGTGATTGATTCTTTCAACTCTGCGAGACTTTGGGTAATTTCCCCAGATTCACATACTCGGCCCCCGTGCGGAATCCTTGAGCACTCTGAGCTTCCCGTCGCTGTTAGCAAACCAGACAAGGTTCTCTCGTTAGCAAACTACGATAAGGGTGAAATGGGAGAAACTGCGGTACGATATCCCATCATTTTCCCTGAGATTCCCCCTTTCTCAGAGGATCGTCAAGAGGGAAACTCAGACTGAGATGGAGAGGGGTAATTGATTATCGGAAGTATCGTGAGCCGCTACGGCGGATCAAAGTTGGCTTCGCTCTTCGTGAGCTCGTGAAACGATCGAGACTCGCCCGCTCGCCGAATCTGAGCTCCCACATGAAAGTAGCAACATTATCTGAGCTCCGCCGAATGAATCCATTTCGCGAACCCTTTCAACTCAGCCGCCAGGGAATTTTATTCGTCATGAGTCCTGAGAACAGTATCTACCGTGTTTACTCTGGTAGACGGGCACTCCTGGACGTCGACGTCGAGGCCCTGGATGATCGGGTCCTCCTGAGCTGGCAAGTCTCATGTCGGAGCTCTACCTCTCAAGCTCGGAGCGAAGTCCAGAGCGAACCCGAAGACTCTTGTGGTCTATAAAAAGAAACATTCTGGATAGAGAGTTTCATGGAGATGCGTCGTTCGGGCATGTCCGTCTGTTAAGATGAACATGTTATGCACAGACGGGAATAATTTCCCGCATTTTACTTCGGTCGATGAATTCTGCGAGCAAAGGGCCACGGATTTATGAGCGTGCGAAAAAGATCATTTACTTCTGACAGGAGCAGATGACATCATCGGTTGACATTTCGCCTCGGCTGGGGAGCGTCATCGATCCTTCACCTGCTACGTGGAAACTCGCTCGGTGCGAAAAAGAACGCTCTTATCCTTGTTCCCTCTGACGAGCGATAAGGGCTAGGACGAAGAAGGAGGTCGCGCGAAGCATGGCGGAATGAGAAATCGCACGGAAGGCTGGATGGAATCGGTACAAAATGGAGAAATATCATGCAATGTCCGTCCATTCTCTGATTAAATATTTCCACACGAAATCCCGAAGCTTATCATCCAGCATCGCCGGATTCTTCGCGAGCAGAATTCCGAAGACTGAAACCTAGTCTCTACGTTTCGAGGAGCTCCGCCTGAGCGATCATGACCTTGACCGGGAAACATGATGCACGGGGTTTTCGGCAAGCCCCTGATCATTATCGGAGCATTATCCGAATCAGTCGATGAATGGATGTACGCTCGATATCTGGAGCTCCCCCCAGATATGAGTCATTGCTCGTCGATAGATTTGTTCAAAATCCATGTATACTCACAAGCCGATCGATACATAATGCCTGGTCCTCTCGCAAGCTCTAGTCTTCATACAAGACATTTTAGATCAGAACATATTTGCGTAATGCTACTTATCGCGATCTCATGGTCTCATGACATATTGTAATCCGGCCATGCGACTGCTCGATTGGCCAAGATATGTAATTTATTCGAAGAGCTCGCGGCGAGGACGATACCTCTCATCGGCGGGCTCTATAACGAACAGATGATAATCAACGTCTTTTCCACTCACGGATTTCTGGTGGCTAGATCCTCGTATTTGATTCTCGTATTCATATGTTGGAGCCGTAAGCGCTCTCGTCGCGAATATTTTCTCGGATTCCTATCGCAAGACAAATTATTGTGAGAAGTCTTTTCAGAAAGTCGCGATGGAGGAGCGGGTCGACGCCAGTCCGGAAGATCCTTCTCCGAACTTGTGTTCACGACTTGATTTATGCTCGCACGTTCCCTCGTTTGATCGTAGGAGTCAGATCTGCGTTATTGCGCAAATGTCTCCGATTCAGGAACAGAATCAGATCGGATGAATGAAACTTACCGTCATTCGAACTGACCAGAAGAAGCAGCGCAAAGCCGATCTTCTGCACCCATCGATCTCAAATCCTTACGTCAGCCGTCGCAGTCTCGATATACCATGATGTCTCTATGCTTCTTCCTTCGGAGAGAGTGGAACTGTTGTCCGGGGTCGAGAATCTGAATCGCTCCAGGAAGGAAGCTGTATGAATAGCAGTCTTTTGGGAAACTTGCCGACTCGCGGCCTTCTAAGTAGGGGCCGAAGAATGACCAGCTCTAAAAACTTGCCGCTTGAGCTGTCCCTCATTGAGTCCATGACGCGGTATCGAGCATGGGGAAACCGAGCGTATTTGACTGAAGTTTTTTTTGCCTTGATTGCGACTACGAAATCAGGAGGAAAATACGATCTATGACACATGGCTCGATGTCATGTTTGTCTCCTGATTAGTTGCTCGTCACCCTTCCTGCTTCTATCGCATTTTCTGCCCCGCGAGGTTCGTTCCAACCAGATTTCACTGTACAGTGCTGCGAGGAAATTGACGGATCTGATTGGACAGTAGTCACCAAGTATCTTCCTCTCACCTCCCGCCAACTGCAGTGAGTTTGAACCCCATGAGGACTGGATCCTTGTCAGGCATTCGATTCATCATCACTCACTAACATCTCTCGACCTCCGGAATCGACTTGACTGCTCTTGGAAGAGGCTCGTCCAAGAAGCATAAGACGATAATCCGATTACCATTAGCTGCCTCCCCGAACGCGGAGGATTCCGAAGTCCGTCCTATCCTCGAAGATTTAGTCGAATATAGCAGTCTTAGTGTGAGAAATACATAGGGAGCGATTTGGCCGAATCTAACAATCCTCTCATTATGAGAGACTCGTACTTTTCAAGAGTGATCTCCCACTCCCACTCCCACCAGTGGCGTACCTAGTCCATTTCGCGCCCGGGGCAGACGAAGTGGATGCGCCCCACAGCAGATTCCGTCTGGCGCTGAGACTCGGCGAGGAGGATATGAGAGGGTCACAAAGAGCGTATTTTTCTTGGAGACACTGCGCTCCTCTCGAGCGGACCAAATTATGTAGGATGGCTGCCCATCTTACGGGAGGACATAGCTTCGCCGTCTCTTGTGTTTTTTTCCGAATCTCGCTGTATCAGAATCAATTCTAACTCCCACGTCCGCGCTTAGCTAGTGTGGACAGAAATCTCGATTTTGCCCCCCTCCTAGATATGCCGCTGACTCTCACTCTTCTTACCATTGTTTCTGGCTATTGATGCCAAGTCTTCAATCGGAAAATGAACGGCGAGACGGACCTGTCGACCCCAGTCAACTGGCAGGTCAGGAGTATCCAATCCCAGAGAATGTACATAGTTGAATGACCCAAAGATCGTGGCATGCCCAAAGAGCGCAGAGAGACGACCATTATGTTTCCCTCGATGGTCACGGAGTCTGGAAGAATCGAGCTGTGTCTCGAAATTCAGCAGCGGTGCTGCAAACCTGTGCTGCGGTCGCTCGCCAGTACCATCAGAGGATATGAATAAAATTCCTCGAACTACAGTAAGCCAGAGATAGTTTCTGTAGAATTTCCGCTGCAGGGATGTATCGATGCCTGAGTTCTTTCTGATGATTCTCTTCGTCAGCCGATTCCATCGAACATTGTCGAGAAAACAACAAGCTCAACTCAAGAACTAAGGGAACGCCAAACAATGTACACCGGAATAGGGGACGGAAACCAGTCGCCGCTCGCTATTAGTACACGGAGAACAAACGAAACAGCTGCTCTCTGAAGTTTCTCCGTCAGAGATTGACCGAACTGCCGACGACACCAGGGCGGAATAATCGGATCAGCAGGTATGAAGCAGGTACTTTCGCTTCAGCACCGAATCCGATGGGCACTGATTGTGGGCATTGCTCGCGAATGGGGTGCGTGACAAGATTCCCTATCCGCGAGTATTACGCACTAAATGTTCAACGGCTTCGATGCACCTTCCTGGGAGAAGCATAGTATCATAACCCTGCGTGGATTCCGATCCGAACTTCGGCTTCCGAAACTACACAGCTCGCGACTAGGTTTCTGGATTTCCCAGTCCATTTCACATAACCCGCTCCTAGACTCCGCCCGTCCCTCTCTCCGATGCCAAGTGACATGTCCTCGCAGCCTGTTGGCGCTTCACGCCAAATCGCCATTCCCGTGGCTAGGGGTGTTCAATCGTGGTTCCGAAAGTTTTCTGCTAATCGATAGGCCCTGTGCTGTTCCCTTTCGGCAGGACTACCCAATATTGTTCCGAGGAGTCTCTCGCTGAATATATGGAGGCTCTTTCGAAACTTTCGCGTTTTCAAGTCGGGGCGTTGAGCACAACAGTTTTGTGGAGTCTCTATGGATTGGGTTTGCTCCAGCCAGTTTTCAACCTGATACCACTGCTCGTGGCCGTGCCTACGATATTCTGCCTCAGTGAAATTATACGGAGACTCGTAGAAAATAGTCTTGGGAAGCGTTCCGTGCCATGCAATGGGGAATACGTGCTCATCACCGGCTGTGGTTCAGGATTCGGATTCGCTTTGACAAAATGTCTTGTGGACAAAGGGTAAGCACGAATCGAACGGTCACAACGTATTCACCATGTATTACATATGAGCCTATTTCGTGCAACAGACTTCGCTACGCCGCTCCCTCTCGTGACTCGTTAGATGCGTATCCACGCGGGCCTCATCGAGGAGTCCAAACATTGATTGATTCCATTATCCTTCAATTCATCTAGATTTTCCCTGTATCAAATATTCCTGCCTTATCAGGGTTTTATATTTCTTTGGAGAAACCTGAATCATCCACATTTGGCTCAAAATCGTCCATGGCACGGTTTCACTTCGTAGAATAACGCTTATACCACCCCGGCGGGGAGCAATCGGCACTCTTTCAAAATTCTGCTGCGACTTCAAAGAGACTTCGCGCGACAAATCAGGGTCCTCATCCGAGCGATCAGGTCATTGATCACAATCTAATCAATGCCTTCAATGCTACTATCAATGTATCCACAATCAACATTCGGCGGGTGCTTCAATGGCTTCTGAGCCAGCAGATATCACACGCGAAGACCCGCGTTTTTGGCAAGGGGGATGGGTGAATATGTCGAGCCACTATCGGATATTAATTGGAAATTTCGAGTCTAGATTTCCGCGCTCATCGCTCTTCAGGTACCACGTTTTCGCGGGTTGTCATTCGCCCGATTGTGGAGGTGCGAAAGAGCTGGAACTGTACTCGAAGCGAGTCGAAGTCATCGGCATGGATGTCGGCTCCGATGAGTCAATGAAATCGGCAAGAGAACACGTCGAGAAGAAATTAGGAAACATGGGTAAGATCGATGGAGTCTTTGAGCGATGCGCTCATCCATCGTCCCTGATTAGATCCTGCGTAGATAATTCTGACCTAAACGCAGGGATATTACTCACGGAGAGCTCACTCGGCGTAGCTTAGCTGAAGAATATTAGCATCTTATTATGAGCGTGCCATTGACACCGGTGCATGTATTTTGATTCGTGCACTTCATCATTTCCGGGAATCTTCAGGACAACTTTGGGCGATCGTGGCGAATGCGGGTGTTGCCAACCAAGGTCCCCTAGAATGGACGACCATGTCGGAAATTGAGCATATTTTCAAAGTGAACACTTTCGGAGTTTTGCGGACGGTCAAAGAGTTCCTGCCATTCGTACGGCGAGCCAGAGGTGAGTGTCCCCTGTCGGAGGCGGCCCGTTCGGCGGCACACGATTTGCTATGGGTATTATATTTCCGTGGATATCCTGCGGCTCTCATCGAGTGTTCTATTCCTTTCTTCTAGGGCGGGTTGTGGTGACAAACTCATTGCTCTCAACGATCGCCAATCCCTTCGTGATCCCCTATTCGATGAGCAAAGCCGCTTCGAAAGCACTCGTTGAAGGCCTCCAGAGAGAGCTCTGTGACTTCGGGATCTACTGTTCATCGATAGAGCCTTCGTACTATGAGTACGTAGCGTCCTTGACCAAAGGCATAAGATCCTGGATGCTCCGATTTCTTATCCGTTGAATCGCGATGAGGGGGCATAATCGCGGTAATTCATGATATTCGATTCAGGACTGCGATGACTCGTCATCGAACAGCGGAGGACTACCGAAAGAAATATGATCTGATAGACGAAACGATGAGGGAAGACTATGAAGGCTACGTCGAACTCTGCAGTGAATATTTTGATAGCGTTTCAAGCGTCATCACCTCGACCAAGGTAGGCTTCCCCAATGGGCATCAGAGAAGTCCCTTTCACTCATACTTTTTTCCCATGAAAGTTTCTCGAGTTACGCTTTCGCGCCCCCTATTCTTCCAGGTGGAGGAACCGATCGACGCATTGGCACATGCCGTCTGTTCCGTCAGACCGCTTCCGTATTACTTCGTCGACAGTCCCTGTGTTAGCTTTTTAAGAGAAATCGAACGGCACGTCAACATTGAAGTCACTGATGCTGCGGTGAAATGCACAAAATACTTGGCAGCTCTGAAGAAGAGGTTCACGTCGACAAAGTGATGCCCAATTGAAGGCGCTAAAGACCTAATAAATATAATGCTCACGGATCGTGGTCGTCGTGAAGGGTAGACACTGGATAAGAAATATCTCCACCCGCGCTCCTCCTCTCCAAAAAAGGGCTGCTCCCTGGTTCATACAGCATGAGGAGGATAGTCGTGTCGAGCATTGTAGCTTGGCGCTGCAGGCCCGTCCTCCTTGTGAGCTCCTCGCTAAGCTCCCCCGTAGTCCGTAGTTTGTAGATACTCCAGGCGCACTGGAAAGAAAATCACATGTAGCAGGTGCAGTAAGATAGCGGTGGGAAAGCTCCTCGAGTTCGCTGGGCTCCGACCCCTCGCAAACCTGAATCTTGTTTCTCCCGATTCGGGAAGTGAGCCTGGTGCAGAATTCTCTGCCTAGTGTGACCCAAGAGCCCCCTCGATACGTCATCCGCATTCGAAGTAGTATTTCAGAGAATGCCCAGCATTCAAATACTTTTCCGAGCGCAAATCGGGATATGAGAGTTTGCCCTCGAGTCCTATGTACAAAATCCACAAGCGGCGATTAAACGTCGGAGGTTGACGAAGTTCCAGAACAGTAAGCGTGCTTACGACAAGACGATCCTGGCGTGAATATCAAGCAGGTCCGAGCCGCGTTGAGCCAGACGTCTGTCGTCGCTTCCTTCGATATTCTGAAAATGCCGATTGGAGGCTTCTAATCGCAAAACGTCATTATGTCCGACGAACCGGATTCCTCGACGATCCAGGCGGGCCGAAATCCGTTAAGCGACGCCGGACTCGAAATGCTCAGAAAGTCATCGATCACTCTGAAACGAACAAGAGCGTTCTGTTCGCCATTGCGGTTGCCGGCCAGGTTCTCCCATCATACACCGTCCTCGAGTCTGAGTGAGAACGGGTAAGAAGTAAGTAAGAACTGCCAACTTTGCCGTCTCCGTCCGAATAAATCGGGGACGTTCAGAAAAAAGGTGGAAGGCTAGAATTTTGTCGTCGAGAATGCGCGGAAGGAGTCTACTTCGTCGGCAAAGTTAAACGGATAGACCGCTCCCGACGACAGCTGACCCCGGTCATAATCCGGCACCGGTGATGAATTCGATTATCAAACGCATACGATTGAATGTAGGAGTCGTGACGACGGCAGTTGATCGAAATGGCGGCAATTGATCGAAAATGTACTCTCGAAGCAAGGCTTGGAGAAGCTCGGTAATCAAAGCCCCTGATCGTGCCAGTTCTGGTGCGAGTGCGTCATCTTGGAATCGAGATGACAATATAGTGCATACTGAGAAAAACTCGGCGGTTTTCGCTTCCCTCGGAGAGAGGGTCTTCGGGAACAACGCCAAAGTCACTTAGGCATGAGACGGGACCATTCCAAGTGTAGTGAACACAAAATCAGGGCCAAATCATGGAGCGAAATGGTCCTTGAGGTGCGAACTGACTGACAGACAGACATTAGGCTCCCGTCATAGGGGCTGATATGTAAAACTCAATCAGAGAACTTTGACTGAGAGCACTGGATTGACGCTACCTAGGTTCACAAAGCTCAAGGTGTGCATTGATTTCCGTAGCAACGCCGTCAAAGCAAGACTCCGAGAAGAAAAGGCAGAGAAACTCTTCCCGAGGCTTCGACACTCTGGTACTAGAAAACCTCCCTCCAGCCATCCCAGGTGCCCTCTCGGGAGCCTGATTTCATGTAAACGCTGCCGTCGAATATGCGGAGGGCGCCATGATGGAGGAAACTCCCCTGAAATGCTCGAATATCGACCTGAAGTTGTCTCGCTCCGAAATTTTCTGCGTCGTCGATGGAGGCGAAGTTGTCAGCGAACAAAGACTTCGGTACCCCAGAAGAAATTCTTGGGTATAAGAAGCAGAAAAAGATCGGGATCTGAGTAGGCTTCTCCAGGTACAAGAAAATTCGGACATCGGGCAGATGACTAGGAAGTCGTAGAGTATCGCCGCTCCACCAGGAATCAACTCTTGGTGAAGAAGCCGTAAGCCACCCTCCTCAATAATACGTTGACTGTGGGCTCTACATATCGTTGCGATAAACCTGAAGGCCCTTCGGACACCTTTGAAGCTCAGGAACCTGAGGGGGGAGAACCGCACGAGATGGTAATCCCGGGAGAGTTCGCTAAGCAGAGAGCTTCAAGAGTTCCGAGTAATTCAGGAAAGGCAGGAGCGGTATTCAGTCTCCGAGGCTACTGAGAACGTCGGACAGCGTTCTTCGATCGAGCTTCTCGAAGCAGGATCCGTATGTCGAGCGATCTTGAGGATCTGTCTCCATATCGAAGATCCGTTCCACATAGGAATGCGCCTTTGTTTCCGAAGGAATTCCAGCCGAATCCATTACTGACTTGATTTGATGGAACCCCCATCCCCCCCACGATCTCGAAACAGTCGACGGCGACGACCCGTAAGAAGTCGAGCGCGCAGAATCCGAAAGCCCGAGGAACAATGGAAACTCTACCGGGCTAATCGGTGTTCGGGCCAATGAACTGCGAACCTGTGCATACCAGTCAGTCGAGGCAGCCGAGAAACCCCAAAACCGTACATACATATGAGATGAGTGGTCCCTGGGAGAGTTATTCCGAACAGACCACGATATCAGGATCAAGCCCATCAGAATTCTATATGATTCCGCGCGAGAATACTAAAGCTCGGAATGACTGCTGTCTTGTTTCTGTCACGCGCCGCTCGCTTGGATCGACGAGAAGCTTGCGTGTCCTCTTCACTGCGAAACTTCATTCACATGAATATATTTCTCCTCAAGTCCTTCTGGATCGTCTGATCGCCCAGTCCGTTCGAGTCCGCTCGGTTTCGCCGTGACCATCAAGCCGCCGAAACACCTCGAATTTCAGCGCCTCTGTCAGAGCTATTCGGAGCAGGTATGGGTCTAGAATCCTCGTAGGTGTCCGCCAAAAGAAAGCAGCCTCTCGAAGGCCTGACTGGACATCACATTTTCCCACGGTCGAGGTCTCCGGCACGGTAACGTATTTGTCGCTTCAGGAACACCCAGAGATATAGGGAATTTTTCTTTGTAATGAAACTTGTGAAGCGTGAATTGCGATCTGGCGTGATTCCCGTCAATTTGGATGCTCTCAGTAATCGTCGGCGTCGTACCAAACAAGACGACATTTTCCTCCCGTCGGAACACCGAGATATCCGGCCGCATCATCTCTGATGATTATCTTTTTGTCGACTTATTCAAATCTCTGGGGCTGTTTACCAATGAGGCATAGCATCCCTGAGCCCAAGCCATTGCCTCTCTCTGTGCGTAAGACCGTGGATCCCACGGGGGCGAACAAAGCGATTTTTACGAAAGGGTGATCTCTCGATGCCCAAAGTGTATATCCGGCGCGACGGTAATCGCGGGGCCGACTGTATCCCGCAAGGCAATCGTCGAGCTCGTCGCGCCGACAAGGGATCCGACTGGCTGGCGGATTTTGGACGCATATGCGATCCTTGAAAGAAACTAGTTTCCATCGAGGCTTGAAGAGGCCCCTGATTTCGCAGATCAAGGACATGGACGCGATGGCTCTCTCAAGTCTCGACGTTCGGCTTCGGAATCGTACTTAATGTCTTTCCGTTTTCCTCAACTCTTATCAGATGAGGAAAAATCCGGGCACGAGCGCGAATTGCGGGGAGAAACTTGATCTGAAACACCGAATAGTGAACATCTGAAACAATCGCGACATCGCCGAAGGCATCGGACGGTTTTTTTCCTAGCTCATCCCGTGACAAGCAAAAAAAAACGCATCCACGGTCATATAATGTTTTCCCTCAGTCAGAATCGAGCTCGCGATAGATTGCGAAAGCAAGGAAGCTCCGTCCGATGACTCTCCCTCTAGCTCGGGAGGAACGATTCGCGCGGCTTCCGACCGATTTTCGCAATCATCACGAGTGCTGTTGACGGCCCGTCAGAAACGGAGATTTCTTCGTGTTGCGCTGGATAGGGTTCGGCTAATGGCTCAGCCGTCCCCTCATCGTCAGCGTTATTCGATCACATGGGAGAGACTGCAAGCTCTCCGCCATCGAAATGTAAAGGCTGGTCGCTGCCCGTTCTTTCCTTTGTCTAGATCTGGCAGTTTCTGAAAGTTTCCCATCACGAAGGACAAGCTTCAGGCCTTCCGCGGAGCTGTTTGTTCAAAACCTAATGGAAATCTAGCGGAGCTCGCACTGCAATCGATAATTCTCGTTAGTGTTAATCAATGAGCGTCGTATATCTGTCGGTCTGTTCGTTCGTGACCCTTCCCGTGAGGTCTTCGAGGACAGAGACCGGCGCCAATCTTTGAATGATTGCCTCGGGAGTGAACGCTGATCATTCGATGAAGTTGCGTGTTCACGGAGTATCGCGGGAGACAACACGATGCGTTTCGGCCTGGTAGTTACCGCTCTTAGAAAATTCTCGGTTTCGATAGCAAGTCGCTTGCGCCGAGCCATGAACCTTTGCGAGGGTCTTGCTAAACAACTCCAACGGCTGCCGTAAGCCGTGGCGCGGTACACCCATGGTCAGCTTCACTCTCCTGTGTCAAGTCGCCTTCTTGCAGTGCGCATCCTGTCCCCACTGCGAGCATTCTGCGAACGGATTATACTTTTGCGGCGCTACCGAGGCCGCTCGCTTTCCACAGTGACGTCGCGAAAATCGGAGTGAGAGTCTTGGGCTGACTTCGAGTCCACTCGTAATTTTTTCCCCCATCATGGACGTACTGGCTGGACTCTCGCGCTTCAAGCTTGGAGTCTTGATATCAGTATGCCTGTGGTCCTTGTACTTTTGGGGCATCCTCCAACCTGTGTTCACGTTCGCGCCGCTTCTTGCTGCGATACCGACAGTGACGTTCCTCAGTGAAGTTATCAGACGAATCATCGAGTATCATCTGGGAAAGCGCACAGTTGCAATCGGAAACGATGCTGTACTCATCACTGGCTGCGATACTGGATTCGGATATCTCCTCAGCAAACGACTGGCCGATAAAGGGTAAAGATAGAAGAAAAGCGTACTGAAAAAGAATCACCTTCGGGTTTCTCGATCGGCGCTGGTCATCGCAGCTCTTGAAATGAACAAGTGGAGAGCACCTACTCCGCGATAATAATCGGTGATCGCGATCATGGACTAGAAATACTACTTCTAGATATTTATTCGTCCACAATCGGCTCTGCTGAATTGACACTCCTAATCGTTCGGAAGGTATACTGTTTTTGCGGGCTGTTATGTGGACAATGGCGCGGGAGCTGCCGAGCTCCGCGAATACTCATCGCGAATCCAAGTGCTCAACATGGATGTTCGATCCGATGATGCCGTGAAGAAAGCAAGATTGCTCGTAGAAGAGAAACTCGCTGGACAAGGTGAGAATTTGATAAGATTATGGGTACAGCACGTGAGTCTATGGGACTATTCGGGGAAACTCTTCGACTTCGCATACCCCATGCCCTCGGAGCTTCGAGACAACGCCGCTATGTATGTGCCCTCTCGACACCACCGAGAGGAGGAGTCGACCCGAGAAACCGTCCATCCAGGCGATATGTATCTCACGCATCTTGATTTGGTAATAGTCAAGGCTCGCTCTGCTGGGACTCTCTCGGAGCTCCCTCCCAGAGTTCGAGATGATTGTGGAGAGCGATGAGATTGTTTGCACTATTCTGAAGGGAGATCCTGACACAGGTGCTCCGATGTCTACAGACTGTTCCACTTTAGCTGGATGGGCTCTTCTTTAGTTTGGGACAACATTAGACGCAATGAGCTGGCTACTTATTGTTAGATGAGCTTTCGCGCAGCGACAGAGTCACCTTGTACCCTTCGCTATGTGATTGTTTTGTCGAGCAGCTCAGTCTTATTCACACGGAAAAGTTTGTGGGTCTCGTGTCCTTTTCCTGGAATCATTATACGCTTTGTTCATTCGGTACCGGCATCAAGTACATCGGGGAAAATTGCTCGCTTCTCGGGTTCAGTTGCCCTAATGCCGAGCAACCGACGTTAATTTACTGTCCGGAACGGTCATCGCTGCTTAGCTGAGGGAATCTCACTTCATTTGGTCAGCTGGGACACCTGCGCAAAGTCGAGCTTTCGAGCACTGTTACGACAGATGGCCCATCTCACTTATTGTTGGATGAAATACTGGGAGGTGTCTCGACGGATTCCAGTTTCATGATATGATACATTGGAAGGGAGGGGCGAGGCGAAATTTTCAGGCGATTCGAGCGTTTTTCGATGATAAGGCGATGACTACAATACGTATGGTCTGATCGCGCTTCGCCTGGGAAAATGAAGGCGACTCTCTGAAACGAGCTCAACTCCTCAGAGCTACAACTACATTCCGCTGTATGAGCATCGATGGTCACCTGCAAGCCTTCTCGGGACACATCATGGAGCGACGCGATCTCCGTTTGAGCTCGGCACTCTCGCTCCGAACGCGATCGTTCATCTCTGGCCAGACCTCGATAGCTCCGGCGATAAGGAAGGAATCAGTTGTGGTCTGATGTCACTGCCGTAGTTCTGGAATTTATTTCATCCCTCCATTGCAGCCAGCTTTCTTACATGTAGTCCTTGGTGAGTTGAACGAGTCTGAGCCGAGACCTTGCATCGCCTCCAGATTCCAGAACTTCAGACGGTCGGGATAAGAGCATCGCTGAAGCCAGCCTTCATAGGAAATTATTTCATATGCCGAAGTCGAATGAAGAATATTCATCTCACCTACAGCGTCTCGAATACCGAGAATATGATGCATGTTAATGAAGATCGTAACTATGCAGGACCGCGGGGGCGTGATCGCGAATAGTTAGGCGAATAATCACTATAGACTTGATCTCGGACATGGAATCGGGCACCGGAGTTCCGCTTAATCGAATGGCTCTACAGTATCACTCACAGCACCCATCAGAAACGGATCTCAAGCCGCTAATTGCATGAGAGATGACAAGTCCGAGTCAGGAGCGGCCCCTTGACCCTGGGTCAAGTTCGGTGGATATAACACGAGGGCTCCGATATTGGAGACTCGAGGCGCCCCATGTGCGCTCGGATCAGAACGGAATTCCGTGTGCTTTCACCGGACGCTGCTCTCCTGCTAGCCCAGACCTTGAGCCCCGATGAGGTTTCGCCAATTTCCGTGTTGCTCAGCCATATTCTAGTCTCTTCCCCCTGTGAGGAGGTCTCCTTTCAAAATGTCATGCACACATCTTGTCTGGCGCCGCCCTTCGAGACTTGGCTTGCGGAAGTCCGCATCGTCGGATCATTTCCGCCGGCGAGAGCTTCCTGTGCACCATTCCTGCTTTGGCTACCTCAGAAGAACTCAGGAGCAAGCCTCCGTTCGAGCTGAGGTGAGCTCCAACTCTGAGAGGTGCTTCCAAGATTTTCATAACCTAACGATCAATAATTATTTAGTCAAAGAAAAATGACTCTTGCTCGATGCAGCCTTATAGCTGATAATGAATGCATGCATGTGATCGGTGAAGCTGAACACTGAGTCAGTTATCGTGACCTTACTTATCCGAATACGCTCCGAGGGGCCGTGACGGGAGCGCCAGTCCCGGGTCGTCACTCCCAAAGTCAGGCGATCACTCCCCCCCTTCCCCGAGCCTTCCTGTACTCCCCATGTTGGAGCAGGACCCTGGTATCAATCCGTCGCTCCCTCGATGCATTGACCGCGCCCCCATCGGAGGATTCATGGATCCGCCCCTGGCTTCGTCCATATGAATATATTCTCGTGGAGTTCTGTTCCTACGGGAGAAGATGCCTGCTCATTTTTCTACAAAAAAAATAAACAATCCCAGTGCCAGTGTTTTTCATCCGAGAAAGCAAAATCGCAAAGTAACTACACAATTGTGATGAGTAATAATCGGGTCGGAACATTGTCGAGGCAGAAAATGGGGCGAACGCATGCGCGCCGCTGAAGCGAGTTCCGTCTCTCACAGGTTGGGCTCTGAAAAGGACTCATCCGCTCGTTGAGTCAGAGAATTCCGGACTTCACTTTATCTTTGCACTGTAAGATGAACCTCGCGAGTGACGCAAATTCCGCTCGTATATCTGATCTTCTCTGTAGAATCTGAGCCGCGATCTCATCACTGATTACTAATCAGTGATTAGTCATCACGTCATCAGAGGTCAATCGAGAGATTACCGGTCTCATCATATGCGCTAAGCCAATGGGGTAGGCCCCGAAGACACGCGTCTCGAGCCCCACTCGCGCAGAATCGGTGCTGCTTCTTCGGGGTCGATGAGGGAGCGTCAAAAGCGATGAGCTGTCGATACCATCCGATGCCATAATGATTCTTGTTCTTGACAAATTCATTTCAGGACTTTGGGCGGTCGTCGCGAACGCTGGGATAGCCAATCATGGACCGCTAGAATGGACGAGCATGGAAGAAATTCACAGCATATTCGATGTTAACACTTACGGAGTCCTCAGGACTGTCAAAGAGTTCTTGCCACTCGTCAGGAAGAGGAAAGGTAAAAGCCTTGGAACTCTTGGAGGATTTCTCCGAATCCGAGGCGAGAATCGTTACATGTTTCCTCTTCTCAGGCCGGATCGTTGTTACGACGTCCATGCTCGCAACGCTCCCGAATCCATTAGTGATCCCATATTCAATGAGCAAAGCGGCTGTGCGATCACTTGTCGACGGTCTCCAGAGAGAATTACGAGGTTTCGGAGTCTATTGCAGTTCTATCGAGCCCAACTACTACAAGTGAGTTGAGTTCCGACGGGAATGCAAGGAGTCTCTCCGGAATCAAGGGAATCACGGAATAAGCCTCTTGAAATTCTTGTGCAGGACCAGCATCGTAGAGAATCGTAGCATGGAAGATTACCACAAGAAGTTCGCTGCGCTCGACGAGAACCTGAAGGCCGAGTACGAAGGTTTCATGGACACTTGCAGGAATTACTTGGACGGCGTGAATTCCTTCATCATGTCGGATAAGGTTCGATATCATTTTCAATGACGAGGCTCCGATCCTTCGTCGGTCGTGACTAGTGATCGTCCATGAGCTCGGATGAACTACAATTCAGGAGTCTCATTTCGATTCCAGATTGAAGAGCCCTTGAACGCTTTCGAACATGCTGTCTGCTCTGTCCGTCCGCGGCCATACTATCTGGTTGATAGCCCAATCCTCAGCTTCGGGAGAGAGCTCCTAAAGCATCTCAATGTCGAGGTGCTCGATGCGGTTGTGTGCTCATCGCAATACTTGGGGGGCTTGAAGAGGAGAATATGTCCGAAGAAGTGATATGTTTGTGACGAATGAATTCCTCGTCGAAGTTAGCGACGTATACTCGCATCCCAAATAAAAAATGTGCTACTGTTCTCGTACGATGAGTCGCGGGGATATCGCGATAGGGAATGAATGCGCTCAAATTATAATTATATCGAAGTATTCCTTTCGATGGACGATTTGTTTTCGTGCCCTACTCTGCATTTTTGTCTCCAACACTCTGAGCTGTGCTCCGAGACTGAAGAAAGGCCGTGTATCCTTGACCACAGTGGGAATCCCTCCCGTGGTTCCAATGTTTGAGGTTCTCTGGCCGTTTCTCGTTCCCTTCCGAAACCCAGCTCTGCCGTCCCTCCCCCCCTCTTGAAGCACGAGGGAAATTCAGTCATGTCACATTCCATGAAAATTCAGAGACACCAACACAGAATGCCTCGGAATGATGAGTCTGAAATTCATTTTCCTCGTCGGAGAAGCAGTCAGGGCCGAGACTCTGCGTGCGGGTCCTGCAGGTTCCGTTCGGGAGAGCGATTCTCAAGACACTTCCCCGAAGAGTAGTCAACTATATAATCTCTTAGGGCTCCATCAGTTAACTTGTCCGTCTATCTTGCGCAGGTGCTCTGTTTCTGCGGCTCACAGCCTCCACACCTGAGGGGCTGGTCGGAACTCATGTCGATAACACTCCTCCATAAGAAGAGTATGGGTGAACTGTGGGGGTTCCTTGAGGCAGGAGTCTGTCGGATCATCTGACGGACGAGTCGGATCATCGGGGCGATTCTGAACGGGCTGAAATCGACTTGAAGGGATGTTTTTCCAGCCGTCGAAACCCAGGTCCAGGGCCGTGCTCCAAAGGTGTCAGAACTTTGGGCTTCTCTCAAGGAACTCGGGGGTCGGATCTCAGCCCGAACGTCCTCGGAACTATCGGGGAGAGCTGCTTGTTGTCCAGGAGGTCGAGCATTCATTTGTGCAAAAATTGATGATGGACAGTGATTACCGGCGTGATGTCAACCGGAAGCGCTCTTCACCGTGGTTCATCCGTTTCAGATAGAGAGAATGGACAAGATAGAACAATATCTCGGGGTGTGATCGGGCAAAATCCCATTGGCGGATCTCTGCGGCTGAGCGCCGCTATCGACCGCGATTCCTGCGGTCCTGATCTTTGCACACCTTGAGAATTGAGCATACGAAAATTGTTCGGTACGAATATATTTAAACCTTAGAGCTGCCTTTCCTCTCTGCTGAGGGTTATCGGGGGTTCTTGCGTCCTCAGATCATTTTCCGAAATGTGCTCGTTTGGCAGTAGCTCATGAACATGCCCTTCCGGCATCCGGAGGCGACATCGGAAGACCCCCGATCGACGCCGATCAGTTTTCGGCGATGATCGTTATCTGACTCTAACGCGATTATCTCGAGAGTCTGGACGGTATTCCATGAAATTCCATTCTTAGTTGAAGAGGTTGAATACTAGCTCGGAGTCATGGCGCGAGATCCGGTATTTCTTACACCTTCGTTCTCCCTGAGATATGTTAAGACAAAGGAGAACAAGTGCCTGTTTCCAAGCGTCCTTATCTACGACTTCCTCCGTGAGCGTTCATCGCGCCGCTGTCGGCGCGGCTAGTGTCAACATGACTCTTCCCCATGAGAGTTGAACTCTGAACTCACCTGGGTGGCTGCGGAAGCGTGTAATTGGTCCTCTTTTGTGTTCCACATACGAGCATAATCCGTTAATTGACTATTCTGTCTGTTGGCATTATTAGAAATGGAATGGGTTGATGAAAAATCACAACGACGTCGTATGACCTTTCTGCCCTATCGCCGGCGGATCTCGGCCACCGAGGGGGGAGTACCCCGCGTAATTCAAAGTTATGCTCGTGATCTGGTCGATTCCGTCAACCAGATGACGTTGGACTGCCGCGGACGTCAAGAAATATGATTGTAGCGGAAGGCGACTTCGTTCTCGCCGGGAGTGTCGCTCCAATCTGCTGGTTCTGTGAGGTGTTCATGAGTTCTCTACTCGAAACTCAGAGCCGCAGCGCGACACATGGGGTATATCTCCGGGAAAACCCGTAGAAGGGATCGATATCTATGTCTCTTCCAACAATCCTCGTTCATCTCCACCTGATGGATCTTTCTCTCATCTGATAGTACGACGTATTCAACGCGACTTCAAGATAACGCTAGTCTACCTTTTTCCGTCCATGGCGGTCATTCTACTTTGTTTGCATGAGAACGCAATGAGAAGATTCTTCCTTCGATCTTATCTCCGTGCTGGGCCTGGAAGGTTAACGTTTGTGCGGCGCCGGTGAGACGTAATGTTGCTCACCGCGCTCTCGAACGTGCTCGCTTGACGTCATCCGACAATCAAAAAACCGAAACTGAGGTTCTGGTCTATCCTATCAAGCGCGAGCTGCTAGTCTGCGGGAAATAAGACCCACGAGCAGGAAATCATCCCTGACATGGAATTTTCTCGTAGCGAGATTTTCACGATCCGTAAGTACAATGCATGGTAGAGCAGGCGAAATTGTCAAACAGCCGAATACGTGTTTCACGACATGTACGAACGACCTCCCCGTTTCAACAATAGAAAAATACATGGGCAGACAAGTTGCTGATACTCGACCATGACGTTTCTCGAAAATAACTCGACGAGATCACCGGCAGAGGAACGGCGTTACATCGTCGGTAGAGGAACGGTGGTCTTTGAGACCCTGCGCAGTGGTGGCGAACCTGTTTTCGCTACTTCAATCGGGATCTCTAGACAATTTGGCAATCATGCGAGGAAACGACCTCAAAATTCGAGCGGTGTCGATTCTCACGCGGATCGATCCCAAACAGATGCAACGACAAGAGCGCGTTCAAGGTCCGAGGAATCTCTGAGCTTCGAACGAAGATAAGTCGATTCGAGGTAAGGCGGCTGAACCCGCTGCGCTGATTTCCCACGGTGTCTATGCGATAGCGAGAACTCAGTCTCATATTGAGTTCAGTCTTGATATCTATGCGGCCGAATCCTAAACACCGAATCCAATCAAGATTGAACTTTCGGTCCGGGGGCGGAGCTTTCGAAAATCTGCTGCTCACAGGGGTTGGCAGAGAGGAGGAAGATGGCAGAGCTTGCTGATAGCGACGGACCCTCTCCAGCGGAGGAGGATGTTTCAGGGGAGGCTTGTACCTGAGAGATTCACCTGTACCGTCCAAGCATACAAAAGTACCGTGATTCACATCCAGATCATCAAATCACTACCGTCAGTCTCGGAACGTGCTAGACTCACTGTCACCTTCGTGAACTCTACTCGACCAAGCCGTTCAGTCGGAAGGATTTTTGTCTGCGATGGCGAACAGGACCAAGCCGGATTCGCTGCCATGTTTCGGTGTGGCGTTCTCGATGTTGATCTACACGTTCTTCGCCATGGCTGTTCTGAAGTCTTCTTCGGTGATTTACGTGGGCTCGATGCAAATGCTCGACCTGACGAGAGAGCAAGCGTCTTGGCCGGCCACGTTCGCCGTGATGCTCTCCCAGCTTGCCGGTAAGTTTGGTTTCAGCTTTGGGAATCGGTGGAGAAGTCTGTCAGACCCTGTCCCGGAGAAATTTTCTCTGTGGAATTCCGGGGAATGTTCCTTCTTGAAAGAGTCGTCAGAGGCTTCCCTTCTGGTGGGATCAAGTCTTTGACCACGAAATTGGGATACCTCCGCTTCCGCACAGAGCTCACACCCTGGAGTTCGGTCACTTGAGGAAGAATCATCCGTTTCAGGTCCCGCCTATGGATATCTGCTGAAGAAGACCTCGGAGCGTTTCTGTCTCGTTTTAGGAGCACTTCTGTGCTCTCTGCCGATGATGGTGGCCGCCCTGTGGGCAACCGAAGCCGTTACACTTTGTGCTCTCATCGGTGTTATTCAAGGTGAGTTTGACGCGAATAGAGCCCTCGAACGCTCGCTCTGCGCGGAATTAGGGGGACAACGATGAGGCACGCGAGGAATCGGCTCCACCGGTTCTAGTTCGAGAGCGGGACGGGATTTCCGATTCGCAGAAAGCGCTCCGCTGGCTCAATTCCGTACACATCCGCACTGCTGCGTAGAACGGGAGCTGGAGATTAAAGCGGAGTTTCTCCCTCCAATCTCCTCGTACAGCGATTCTAATCGAGCGAGACCTCCCGAAAAAATATCGCGGTCGGAACGGGAGTCTTGTCATGCCATGGACCTAAGGAGCCTGACTGAAACGTCTTCGGAGAAGAAGCGGGAATCGGAACACGAGGTCCGATTCCCGCTTCCGTTGAACCTCGGAGCAGAGATGATGTGACGCTCGAGGAATATTGAAAGTAGAGCTCCCCATTTTCGATCCGCATCTTAACATATTTTCCTCGTTTCCTCGATTACAGGACTCGGATCAGCTTGCAGTGAAGTGATTCCGTTTGTGATTCTCATGCGACACTTCCAGAAGTATCGAGGAACGGTCATATCTGGAATGTACATAATCACCGCCGTATCCGGTTTTGCGATGCCCGTCCTCTATGAGTACATCCGACAGACTTACAACTTCCGAGTCTGCCTCTTCGTCATGGGTGAGTGGTTCAGAATTTGACGCGGAGTCCTAAGGAAAATGAGCCCTCGACGAAGCCGGACGGGGCTCCTGATAATTTCCGAGCAATGTATTCTTGATGGTGCTAATAATGATGGTAGGCGAAGCAATGTATGACCGTGTTTGATTTCAGGCGCTGCGAACCTTGGCATGCTGCTTGGGTGTATTATCGTTGATCGTGTCCCCGCGGCTCCTGAATCCAACGTCGCTTCTGGCGCGCCCGGGTCAGGCTCGCATTTCTCAGAGATCAGTTTGAGCACAGATAACTATTTGGTCGGAAGCATCCTGTTGAAGAGCCATGTAAGCTGGGTCTCACTAAAGTCAGTTCCACCCGATTCGTTGATTGGAAACTACGCTCGTCGGTTGTCCAGAGGAATTTTCAATGATCTCATTACCCCAATTTTCAGCAAAGTCACACGGGCTCGTTCCGCGACGTTGAGTCTCTGCGGGAGAGGAGGCCGCTCGTCAATTCGCGACCTAAGCCAGCTGGAGCGGTTCTCGATGCGAGCAAAAAAGGCCGGCTTTCTCTGGGCTTCATTCACATCACCATCTCGAGGTAAAAAAAATAGTTTGGAGACAAGGGAAACTACGGCCGTCTTGAGAATTGATTCCGGAGAGATCTCCGCCATATCGTTTACCTAATCTCAGCTGATATTTTCCAGGGCGGCCACCGTTTTCACGCTCGCAGCATACCTCTTGGTCATTTTGGATTACGCGACAGATAGACATCTTGATTCCGTGCAAGGTGTTCTCATTCTGACCGTGTTCACCATAGGGGACTTGATGTCGCGGGTTCTGTCTGGCTCACTTATCGACCTCCGACTGTTTGCTCACTCCTGGCTCATGTCGGCAACCTTCCTGGTGCAGGGCGCCTCGTACCTCCTATTAATTTATGTCGATATTTATGGAATGATGCTCATAGCCTCGTTCCTCGTCGGCCTGACTGGAGGCTGCCGAAATATCCTAGCGACGGTCATGGTCACTGAGGAATGCGAAGAATCGAGTTTGGCGCTGAATTTAGGAGTCATGAACTTCGTGACCGGTATCACTATCGGCTTCCAGCCTTACTTGATTGGTGAGTTTCGATCAGAACACCTGCAGAATGTGTACGCTCCTCCCGTGAATGCTCTCCCTCTTGATGCCCTCAAATAGTTAACCGGCTCTTCACTCAATTCATTCAGGTTACATCCGTGATACGCTGGGGAACTACGAACCGCTATTCTTCGGCTTTGTGCTCGTCAACTTCGGCCTGTTCGCAACGTGGTTCATCCATGTTTTCTGCGATTTCCGGAGGCGCATTCAAGACCGCGTCTGAGGGACAGCTCGGACCAAATGTATATGCGACTTCTCCTCCATAAGTCTCGAATGTTCACTTCTGTATAGAGCGAGCCACAAGAACACCTGAAAAATATAAAGTCGAGAACATGTACATATGTCAACGCTGTCAAGCTTATTCTTGTGAAATACGGCCGATGCATCAGGGGTGAGCAATTGTCCTGGATCCACAATCTCAAAATCCCCAAGGCATCCGAGGTGCGACTTGTGCGAGCTCTGAGAGGGTTCTTCCAGACTGGGAAAGATTTTTTTCTGGACGGAAGATCTCGCCCCCGGCGTCAAGTAGGCGATGGGGGCGGAGAAGACCGGTCCGATCGGGATCAGAGCGCAACGATCCGACGACTGGCAGCAATGAGCTATCCCATAGGCGGGGCGTCGAGCTGGGATATTCCTCGAAGAGGATGATCGCCCTCGGCAGGGGTTACGATCAAGATTACCTTATCCGTATCTGAGAGGGCAAAATCGAAAAAGATGAATCCGAGAGTTTCAGAACACGTGAACCATGTATACGGCTGTACGGGCCGTACTCTCCGGAATCGTACATTGTACGGCTCCCCCTGAGAGCGAGCTAGGTCATAGCCGTTTCCTGGCGGCTCCCGAGTAGCTGCTCGAGTTCTCGGAACATCTTATCGTTAAAGTAGTGTTATCCGAAGATCTTCGTTAGAATCCCGCCCGAGGGCTTAGAATTCACATCGGAATGATGCATAAGTCGAACATTGTTGTTGCCGCTTCTACCCGCGCTGCTGCTCGCTCCGGAACGAGTTAATCTAAAGAAACTCGCCCAGTCTGTAACTATGCTGTGGCCAATGCCACGGGGCTCAGGCATCCTTTGCGGCACGAACGGCCCACCTGCCCTAGCTCCATCTACGTCACCTGCCGCCACTCCACAGCCTTATGTTACACCAACCCGTGCTAGTCCTCCGACGGTATCCGACGGATTTTTTCAGCGACGTGTCGCGCCCAGCCCGGCGATCCTCGAGCAACACCCACGGGCTCTCCATAGAATTCCGCAAGTCACCCGAACCGAAGCCGCGCGGAAGTTCACTCATCTCCTTGTAGAAGCCGTCGACGACAACGATGGTCTGCATCCTGCGCGCCGCAGTTAGACGATATGATACCCTCGCTGCCCGCGGTCAGACCTCCCCGACAACGCCTCTCCAAATGAAGTTATGGACTCCCTCAAGAGCTTCCCGCCGGGCACCTCTGGGGGCTTTGGGGATCTGACTCCGCAACACATCCTCGACCTTATATCAGTTGGTGGTGAGATAAGCCATATTCTGCTCGAGAGTCTCGCCCGACTTTGCGTCCGGATCGTGCGCGGGCAGACCCCTCAGAACATCTAGGATATTGTTTTCGTCTTGTGGCTGCTCCGAAACCTAGTGGAGACTTGAGACCCATAGCGGTAGGCGGGGTCTTGAGACGCCTTACGGCAAAGATCCTCCCATCCCGAGCTCGAGGTGGCGCGGCCGCCTATCTTCGGTAGCTTAATTGATTCACGCAGCGCGCACCGCCTTGTCTAGAATGAACAGAGTCGTGCTGTTGATGATCGACTTCAGGAATGCGTTCAATAGCAACCGCCGGCCGTGACACTATGCTGACACAGGTCCATGAGCGATCTCCGGAGATTGATATCATATGTAGTACTCCAGGCTCATCATAAGCCGAGTCTGATCTTTTTCGGGGATTCCGTTTCGCTTTCACTTACGGGGTGCCAGCAGGGAGAAGTCTTTTCACCTTTGACCTTCAACCTGGAAATTCATAGTACATTAGAGTCGTTGAGGTCTGAACGAGATCACCGCGAGCTAATCTCGATTACGTCACTCAGGTCAGTCCAGACTTCCCGGATCCTCAGACGGCTGACGACGTTCGCCCGATACAGGATAGCGTCCCTCTTCAGGGACTCGAAATCCGACCGTCACAGCGTGAGCTCTTCATCAGAGGCGTCTCGCGGGAAGAGCAGGATGCCGCGTTCCTTCAGGTATCGGATGGGACCTCCGGATGTCGCCCGATCGCGAATGAGAAGAACTTGGAGCTCCTGGCTTAGCCTTCGGTCGAGTCCGGAGTCCCTGAATCGTTGGCGGACAGGTCATTAACCCACGAGCTTATATCCGGTAGGCTCGCTAACGCCGGCAGTCATGTCGCTTCCCACATCCTGCAAAGATCCGCAGGCTTACCGAGGTTGATGTACCTGCTTCGTGCCAGCCTAGCGTTCTAGGCAACGTCGAATCTTCGCCGCTCGGACGAAGTCATTGCAGCGGCTCGTGAAAGCATCCTGGAAATTTCCCTCTCTGGGGATGCTCTCATACGGCTATCTCTCCCGACATCCTCCGGCGGAATGAAGATCCCGTCGCCACCGAGTACGGCACTGTCCGCATAATATTCATCCTGCAGTGCGGCTCGAGACCATGTTCGAGTCTCCTAGACGATCTCTCGCAATGGGTTCATCTCGTCGAAGCCGCTGTAGCCGAGTTTACCTCCGCATATCAGTAGCGGATCCAGGAGGGGACCTTGGCCTCCCCGAAATCTATTTCAGGCCTATGGGTCTCCATATTGGCCCTTACCGAGACAACAGCCTTGCCCCCCTCCCCCCCAAAGAAAAAATTCTGGATCTGCAACCCGCATACGTTAGTGTTCCAGATGTGGCCATAAATAGCAACCGACGCTTCCGGCCGAACAGGTCACTCCCATGCCGGAAGTGACCAGGAAACGGCCATGTCCCAGCTCGCTCTTAGGCGGAGCCTTACAACAGTAGCCGGAAAAGTACGGTCCTGAAAAGTTTGGCCTGTAGAATACGGCCCGTACAGCCGTCCGCCGTCCCTACGGTTCACATGACAGTAATGTCTAGATGAATAATAATAAATCATTGTAGACAAATAAGAATGAATAATAATAAATAATGGGGGTCTTCAACGACTTCGTCAACTACACGACTTTCTACGTCTTCTGCATGAGGAATGAGTCAGACTCCTCCGCTGTTCTGTGACGGTTCGACAACAATCTAGCCGCTGCCATCTCTGAGACCACGTTGTGGTTGGAGAGTTCACACGTCCACGTTCTCTGTGTTGTGGTCACGTTTTGCTGCTTTCATTTGTAACTTCGAAACCTCCGAGTGAAAAAAATGGTTGAATATGCTGCTGAGGCTACCCCGTGAGTATCATCCTATATTTGGATCTTTTATGTTGAAAAATTGAAATGAAAGAATTTGAGAATTGAAAATTGATCAATCAGCCATTGCGTCTCGCTGCAGCATTATCCAGATGCGGGCCGTCTCTCCTTTTTGAAATCGCTCTCCAAAATTCTCATGACTCGATGCTCTCGGGACTAAATGCGCTGAGACAAGATTGGCTCATGACTGGATGCGTTCAGAGACTGTTCGCCCTCAAGGATCAGTTGCACTCGAAACAAACGTGCGCATGACTTGACGCGCTCAAATGAGTTTTTGGAGCAATGATTGCCAAATGCGTGGGTGTGTTCGGCCGTGAGCGTATTTGTCTCGAGCGCGTATATGCAGGCTCTAAGCACGAGCGCCTCGAGCACAATTTCTCCCGCGGTGGGCTTCCATCATGGATATATAACCTTAACCTTTGAGAGGCGCTTCTCACTTCACGATCCTCAGTGCGTGCCAGAATTCTGGAAGATCGCTCGACTCGGACGTGGATTCTGCGGCAACGTAGCTGTGAAGTCGACCTTACTTCCTCTTGCCAGGGAGAACCATACCCAGATAAGGATGTAACGAGTTCGGGAATGACGAGATTCGCGGATCATGTCAGGATCGAAACCGGGCAAATCACGGCTTTAGGCGCGACCGTGGATGCCGCGTACCTATCCAAATCATAATTATCCGAATGTCCTCTGCCTTCAAGAATGAAAAAGAGAACTGCCGCAGTCCCACGTTGCTTCTCCTTCAGTCAGAACTGAGGAGGCAGGGCTTCTGCGCATGTCTTTGGAGAGGGAAACCGCTCCAAGCTGATCTGGCGAAGGCACTTCATGGTGTTGCAG